GCTATCATGGATGGATCTGAAGTTGCTGGCTATCCGTAGCGACTGGGATACCGTTGTGCTATCCTACTCAGCAACATTACATTGCCTACGATCCTTAGTGGTGGGATGTACATTGCGGTCAAACAACTAACGTTTGTCCCAGACGCACTCGGCTTTGGCAGCTAGATCGTGTACGGCATCCCCATACTCCTGTTCATCATGAGTCCAAGAAAAGTGCAGATTAACTCGTCTTAGATGTAAACAATAAGCCAGGTTGGATAACTTCATGCCTGTCATCACGGTGTTTGATTGTGTCGTCATAATATCTACCATCATTACACAGACTGCAACCGAACGGGCGCTAAGAAGGCATACATAGGTTTGTGAACCGCTTATTCAATGGCCTCAGGCATCGTGCCGCGCTGATGAGCCAAGATTACAGATTTCCTCAGACCTCGGGATTGTGGGGCCGGAAATTGGCTTGTTAGGTTGGCACCAATAAGACCCGAGTGGCTCTGATTATGTAATGACCTTAGCTCGCGACAGCCGCCTGGGTTCCATCAGGGGACTTGACCGCTCCTCCTGAGACACCTAACCGCCATCCATCCCGCAACCATTAGTGAGGATTCTACTGACGACTCGATGTCCGACGACTCAACTTCCGACAACTCAACTTCCGACGACTCAACTTCCGACGACTCGACTTCCAACAACTCGAATTCCGACAACGACTCAAACTCTAGAACCACCACTGTTGCGATCCGTTCTAGGACTGCTGCCATAAGTTCTAAGAACGCTGCAATCCGTTCTAGGACTGCTGCCATAAGTTCTAAGAACGCTGCAATCCGTTACAGGGCTGCTGCAATCCGTTCCAGGACTGCTGCATCCGTTTCTAGGAATGATGCATCTTTTTCTTGGGGTGCTACATCTCTTTCTTGGAGAGATGCATCCCTTTTTAGGACTGAAGCATCCCTCTCTTGGGATGATGTAATCCGTTCTGGGACCACTGTAATTAGTTCCAGGACTGCTGCAATCCGTTCTGAGACTGCTGTAATCCGTTCTGAGACTGATGCAATCCGTTCTGAGGCTCATGCAATCTGGTCTGAAGCCATGCGCGATACACCTTCAACATCGTCCGACTCTGAGGAAGAACACTCCGATACCTGCAACAGCGACGACATGAACGAAGACACACGGGAGTACTACGAAGAACTTGCGCTAAATCCACGTCGGCCCCGGTCATTTGACCGCTTCCTCGATCTACCAAAGGAGCTGCGTCTTATGATCTACGAATATGCGGCAGATTGCCAACGTCGCTTTCGATTCGTGAATCGATACGTTGCCATCACGAACTACGAATCCATAACGCCCATTCATCTCACGTGTCGAGCAATTTGTGCGGAGGCTGCACATCTGATGAAATCTATCGTTGAAGCACAGCGAGTCCCGCAAGCAATGCGAGTCCCCCGTATCATCGTTAATGAACGGTCATGGGATAAAATGGACGGTAACAGTGAGGTTATCAGCAAGATTTGCAGAGTGTGCGAAGAAGCCAGATCAAAGAAAGTCAGCGTAAAGAAGGTGGACAAAATCATGCGGAAATCGGATGCAGACCAATATGGCAAAACGGGTTGGCCATACCACCAATACTCCGAGCGAGCATGCGAGGTCATTGCCAACTTTGCCAACTCCGCGGCCATGTATTTCGCTCGGCACGATCCTGAGAAGGCTCCTTCGTTATCTTTTCCCCCATTGTCCAACGATGCTATCGTAGTGTATGTCGCGTTGGTAGATGCTCCGATTGAAGAAACTCCGTTCTTCCGGAGTTTCTTCAAAGACGTAGGAGTTGAAATGCAACAGCATGTCGGTCCTTGTATGGACTCTACCGAGGACGTCCACGAACGATACTCTGTCATTGGAGAGGAAAATGATTACGATGGCAAGCACAGCGTCGTCCTGTACGATGTAAGGCGGGAGCCACGAGAATGGGAAGAGGGAGAACCTCCTGTTGAAGTCTACTACGAGGGTGTTATTGATGAAGAAGCTTGGGAGCGGGACTGGACATAATGCGCTAGGGAACTATGGAAAGGATCTATTACAGTACGGATGTTGAGAAGGGGGTGTGAAAAGGTTGAAGAGCGTTCAAGATGCTCGTGATACGCTTTCAATCGGGACGGACATGGGTGGCACAAACTTGCTCGTGTTTCTTTCAAGGTTATGCTTTGTTGGTATTATATTTTCTCCTCCAGAAAGATGCCAACAAAACCCACCCTAGGGCATTAATAAAACTTTTGAAGATGTCATCTCCTCTTTTCCCACAGAATTCAATTTGCTCGCTTATCAGTGTCTGTGCTAGATTGCCTTGCTAGGATTAGGCTCCGGAAGCTTTTCAAGCCATTTAGCTCAATAAGTGGTCTCTCCTAGACCATGTTCACGGACGTCTTCCGGGATTGTGATACCCTTGGCACGATAAAATTTCCCGACTGTTGGTATTGGCGCGCCTTCTAACAATTTGGCGTACACAGGAAATCGTGCATCACGATCAACCTCAAGGTACGTGACTAAGACGGACTCGAACAAAGGCTTGATGCAAGCATAGGTGACGCGGCCCTCAAACTTCCAGCAGATGCCAGTCTTCAGACTAGCAGGTTCCGGATTCCTCGCCAGTTCGATGCTCTTAATGTCGTGGATGCTGCTGTAGAGACCGGGACTGCAGAACTTGCCGATGACTTTATACGTCTTATAGAGCATATCTGGCATTTCCTCGTACAAGGGCGCAGTAGCTGAAGAGATGAAGTGGCATTTGATGGTTTCGCTCCGGGGAAAGCCACATGGCAGTATCGTGAAAGTCATCAGGCCGTCTTCGCCTTCGTCGGCCCAACATTGCTCTACTCTGACGATGGTGCCGGTGAACATTATCGTGGTCGGCAGTGAGCCTCCTATGTTGACTTGCTCAAACTCAGAGCCCACGTTCTGTGCGATTACCCTGTCCCATTTCGTGATATTCCAAAAGTTCCCGTGATCATCTTGTCCCTCTACCATGAGAGCGTCCGCCATGTCATTGGGATGAATTCCCCTCTTCCGCATGGCTTCGCGCAGGGAACTAGACTGCGAGTTGAGGAAGTCGTTCGATAAAGCTTTAAAGCCATCGGCTAGGTCGATCCTCGTTTCCATCATGTTCTCGTTGTTCAGACACCAGAGCAAATAGCTGGGGCTGGTGTCTGCGACTTGTTTGATGGTCTGGCCGCAATGCTTTCCAAGTCGAACTCGTACACTTCGTCTGATGTGTCTGCTTCACAGGCTTGACCTGTATGTTCCAGGGAAGACTGCGATAAGGTAGGTGACGCAGGTAGAATGGTAATCACCGTGACACGTTCAGGGATCCTTGCAGCACACGCTCGGGCCATGCCAGCCCCCACTTTCAAACGGCTGTCACCGCCGTGCACATGCGAGGACGACTAGTCGCATTCTTCGCTCGACCCTCACATCCTGTATCGGTAGTGTCTTCAAGTATTGATCAAAAGCTCCTTGTCGACTTCGTCTCCCGTCTGCTTTCTCCAGGACGTATCATTGTTGGTGGTTTAGCAACGCGTCGTGCAGGTGCTCTACATCGTCAACGCGTTGCGCGTAAATTCGAGGCGCATACCCTTACTCAAGTTGCGGCACAATTTCCTATGCATACCGTGTTATGCGATCGAGATTCCCTCGCTTGTAGCGCTTGACTATTCTTCTCCAGGTCCGAACTTAATTCTGCAAAATTCTCCTCTTGCCTTTCTGCGATCTCGTATTCAAGCGAACGACTTCTTCTGATACCCACGATGAGCTCCGGCGTCAAGCGACAGCGACAACCAGCCGCATCCTCCAATGCCGAGTCCTCAAAGAAGCGACGTACCCAGACGCGCGCAGCACCCAAGAGCCGCGGCCCCTACCGTTTCACCTTCGGTAAATTTAAAGGCAAGACAATACAAGAAGCATACGATGAAGACTATGATTATATCGAAGACTTCATCGTCTTCAAGGGAATGACGGGTCGGAACGATATACTTAAGAACAATCCTGCCCTGAGAGCTGGTCTGCGCGACCTACCGAAATCCTGGTTGGAACGAAACTCAAGCTTAGAACGACTTCTGGACAACGACCAGCCAGGTGGTCCCAGTATATACGAATACGAGGCCATGGTTCCGAATCAAGGCATGATGAAAATGAACGAAAGGAGCAGTAGCTGCAGGTTCTGGGAAGCGACCGATGGTGCCGTTGTCAGCGCGTCTCATCAAAGCGCACCTACTGTCAAACTCGAAGACTTCGCAGAGGCGCTGGACGATTCTCATTTCACCAAGAGACTAAGTCCGATACACATAGCGTTCACTGCCACGGTCATACGCGTCGAGCGGAGTTTTACAGACTTCGGAATGGGTGGCTCGGACTTCGATCCTTTTAAGATACTGCCATGTGGTTGGCCGTGGGAATCTCCTCTGAGCACTGAAGTTAACGTTGCAATTACCGGTCAGGACACGGTGTGGGCAGAGAATCTGAAGCCTCTGGTATACGGGCACTATCGCTTCAGTGGAAGTCTCGGTACCGGGTCTTCCCCTCCCACGGGCTGGCCTAAGAGTCTCGACGTTCTCAAGGATCCGGAGACTGTCGAACCGAGCAGCGGGTGCTGCTTTCGAATTGCTGGCAAAGTCAAAAAGGTGGATGGTAGGAGTGTCAAAGTGAGCGTCAAGAGGGAGAAGGCTCGTTATGCGGATGGCTGGGAGAAGGATGTCACTGTGGAACTGTCGGAAGGTGTCCAGGAGCCTGAACTTGACGCGTCATATGTATTCAACGGCCTTCTCGAGCCATTCACCAAGGTGTTTAAGGATATCAAGTTCATCGTAGAGACTTGTAACAGGACCGGAAAAACTCCATCTTAAGCATATATTCAAAAGCGTCACCGCAGGTGCAATCAGCTGAACGCACAAATGGCTTGTGGCCGTATTTGCGGTGCAATACTAAGTGCATTTTTGCACAAGATCTAGTCTCTACATTATAACAATCTGCTTCACCTTCCCCTCCTCCTGAACCTTCATGCTATGACGTTTGATGTTTAGACGGCAGAACGGTCAGTCCCTCCACTCCAACAGCAACTTTTCCTCTTCGCCAAAATCTCCATCTTTCTCAACAATACCCAGATCCTCCAGCTCGCGCTCAAAGTTCTTGGGCTTGTACTCCTTCCCCGCCAACTCTGCGACTTGCTTAGCCAGTGCATTGCGTTCGTCTCTCATCTCCGCAAAGAGCAGAAACCAGGGGGTTTCGGGGCTGAGTCCCTCACACTGCAGCCGGCTTCCTTTCCCAGCCCCCGCTTCACATCTGAGCGTTGTCGTTCGCCAAGTCCACCGACATGTCGTGCATCTCCAGTATTTCCACTTCTTGGGCCGGTCACATGTGGTACATTTTTGGTCATGAGGCCCCATGTAAGTCGTCTCTACTTTATCTTCTTTAAATAGGGCTGGACAGTCGACACAATCGAAAGCTTCATCTTTTGAAATCGGGTCTCCGATATTGGATCTCGGTGACTGTGGCGATCGATATCTCTCTCGTGAGGACGGTGGATGATCTTCGGACGAGGGCGGTGAATATCTGTATCGTGGGGACGTTGAATATCTTTCTTGTGATCGCATCCGGCTTGCTTCTCGTGAAGGGGAGGAATATCTCCCTTGTCGATGCGGTAGATATTCTCTGGGTGGAGGCGATCGCAACAATCTTGGTCTTTCATTCCAGCGATCCTCCTGATATTCTGGTTCACTGTAGCGGGCCATTGAAAGAGTAGATTGCGTGATACCAAATGAGGATATTGCACCAATGAGCTTGGTGCGGTGGATGTGTGTAGGATACCAATCAGAAGACCAATCCGGCAGACAATTTATATTACCAATATGTGTCAACGAAGCTGTCATAAGAGAAAGGAATGGAGTGAGACACGTCTGTGGCAGAGACTGACTCTTTTACTGGCTCTAGACGGGGACCCAATGACTCTGAGTCAGAAAAGTTACGTTGAACAAAACCATTTCACCGTAACCTGTTGGCGTTTCCTGTCACGAAGAGTAAGTCTGAAGACTCAATTCATTTTGCATGTCAGTGCGGCATGACGCAGTGGAGGTAAACGAATCATCATGAAATCGAGCGCCTTATAAAGCCAATGGTTACAGGGAGGTGGAGGCACTGCTGAACTCCATCGTCTGTCCTTACGCAACCCAACCAATGCCGCAAAACCAACGAGTCTGACGCCACAGAAATTACCATGTACGATACAGGAAAAACATGTTCTCCTTTCCAGCTCTTAGACAGTGCCCGCAATACTCAAGTCCCGAATCTCCTGCAGCACCTCTTCCACCCGCGCATCCAGCTCGCCCTGTGCATACTGATCTCTTGTGTTCGCATCCAGATACTGCTGCACTTGCGCCATTCTTGAGTACGCTTCCGCACAGAACCTCAACTGAATCTTGACCAGCGCCTCGAAACTGGGGTCTAGGTATGGTACTCGCAGGTCGATGAGCTGGGGCAGCTCAGTTGTGAGGGTATCGTTGAGTTGATCGTACGCGGCCTTGGCGAGTTGTTCGTCCTTCTCAGCGCGCGGTAGCTTGGTGACATCCTTGTCAGGCTTGTCGGTGAGCTTCCGGACTTGCGCGCGCATGCGGTCGTAGTCCATCTGCTTGTGTTCGCGCTTTGTGATGCAGGCGTTGATGTCGGGGAAGTAAGAGCAGAACCGCTGGATGGGGTCTAGGACGGTTGTTCGGTAGGGGCCGTCGAGGGCTTTTATCGTCTCGGCGTCTAGGTCGGTGACGGCTTGCTTGTAGGAGCGCGATACGCCGTCTTTGGTGCCCGCGTCGCCGTAGAAGGCGTCGATGGTTTCGGCGATGCGCATTTGTGAGGCGGTCATGGCGCGCAGAGAGTCGAGGTAGCCCTTTGCTTCCTTTTGCAGCTTGTTCGCGGCGGTTTCCATAGTACGGTACCGGCTGGCATCATGTTAGTCGTGGTACTACGGTGGGATGCCTTATTCTTGTATGAAGGATGCATCTGATGGATTGGAGAGCGTACCGCTGCTCAGTCTCGAAGTCGCGGTCATTTGTGCGCTCGACTTGGCCAGTCTTCATAAGAACCTGCGTCGTCGCGCGATTGACGCCTTTCTTGAACCCTGCGTCTGGTGAGCCGGCGGCTTCCTGGATGATCGTCGAGGGGCTCCTTACCGGTCCAAGACATGATTGCGCTGTAGTCCCTCTACTTCCGGACGACGGTGTGTATAATGAGGTGCGTGAGGCTTGGGATCGTGGGTGGTAGTCGTGGTGTTGTGGGGAGAGTAGCGTGAATGGAGAAGGAGGCCGTGGTTGGGCGCAGTCGAGTGGTTGTTGGCGGGCGGCAGTGCCACAATGACGACGCTACAAGACCCCGGCCGCGCTTTCTGGTGGCTGAGCAACCGCGATTCCGATTTTGACACAACGACCTAACTTCAATGTTTTCACTTCGACCGCTGCAGCGTGCAGCACCCTCGCCTTTTCGTGTATGCTCAGGCTGCCTGCGTAAGTACTCCATCGCCTCGCCAGCGAGACAGAATGCCGGCAAGAACCAGAAGCAGGTGATATTCTCGGGGATCCAGCCCACCGGCGTACCGCATCTTGGAAACTATCTCGGCGCACTGCGGCAATGGGTCAAGCTGCAAGATGAGGCATCTCTGGATACAACGCTTCTTTTCTCAATAGTCGATTTGCACGCGATTACGATAAAACAAGATCCGAGCGAATTGGCAAGATGGCGGAAAGAGATGCTGGCTAGTCTGCTGGCAGTAGGACTTGATCCGAAGAGATGCATCATATTTGCGCAAAGTAGCGTGAAGCAGCATACAGAGTTGATGTGGATCCTGAGTTGTGGTGCAAGCATGGGCTACTTGGGACGAATGACCCAGTGGAAGGTATACAACCGCAGAAGTAGACCTAGGAGGCATAATGTTGACACTGTCTTAGAGCAAGCTCTCCCTCCCATCCAATGCATCCCCTCTCGATCCCTCCAACAACAAAGACGCCCTCAAACTTGGCCTCTTCTCGTACCCGGTCCTACAAGCCGCCGACATCCTCCTCTACAACACGACCCACGTCCCAGTTGGTGAAGACCAAGCGCAGCATCTCGAGTTCACGCGCGAGCTGGCCAGTGGCTTTAACCACGTCTACTCGGAGTCACAGCCCCTGTTGACTGTTCCACAAACACTTCTGAGTCCCGCAAAACGAGTCATGAGTCTGACTGAACCCACAAAAAAGATGAGCAAGAGCGACCCGAAACCGAAGAGTCGCATCTTGATAACAGACTCAAGAGAGGAAATACATGCCAAGTTGAAGACGGCACTGACAGACTCCATAGAAGGAGTGAGTTATGACCGCGAAACCAGACCGGGTGTGTCAAACCTTGTGGACCTGATGTATCATTTTGATGAGTCGCTTGCTGCGTCACCAGAAGATCTGGCGATTGACTTGACAAGTCTCAGCATGCGGGCTCTAAAAGAGAGGGTCGCCGATACCGTGGATTCGGGCATCAGCGATATAAGAGAATGTTACCAGGAGTTGATGAGTGGAGATCAGAAGGAGCTTATAGGGCATGCAGATGAAGGCGCGCAAAGAGCAGAGAAAATCGCCGAGAGCACGATGGAGAGAGTCAGGAATGCCATGGGCATTGGATGGTGAACCACCGAGTATTCAGTCCATGAAATACCTGTCAGACTGGAGAGTCTAGCGTACAGCTACGGCACCTTCCAAGGGTGACGAGACCCACGCACTGTCTTCTAAAAGACTAAGCTTGTGATCATCATCAATTGTACAATATCCCACGGACCAATACATCTTCGAGTCATAGCTAGTATATATGACCTCGTAGCGACCTCTTCATCACTCCTACATACCACTGAGTTCTCACTGCACTGTTCAAGTACCACTATTTCCAAATACCACATCAAACATCAAACACATGATCGTTCCCCGGTGCCCACTTCCACATTCATAAAGAAAAGTCTGCCTGTACCGACAGTCTTCAGCGACTATTCCACACTCGCATCCTCGAACACGACGTCAAAGCTCGTGACAATGCCACACGCAACCAAAATATGGTTATCTGAATCTACCGAGAAAGTTTTCCAGGAGCTCCTCGGGCACATAACCGGAAAGTCGCCAGACAACGAGGTCCTCAAATCACTACTCCGTGAAGGTGGCTGGGTTCCTGGAGAAGACCCCGACGCCAACGACTATGACGATGACGACGACATCGAATATACCGGTCACTGGCGTTGCACTCGATGCAATGGAATAAGGACATTTGAGGAAACAAAATGCCCAACATCGGACTGCGAGGGCGTCAATCACAATGCCATTTTGGAATATATATACGGAACGGGGTTTGATGTCAGCAAAGGTCAGAAAAAGGGCTGGCGCGTGCTACTTGAGAGGCTCAGCGGGACAAAAGTAGTATTTCTGGGTTCATAGCAGGACAGAAAGTCGTTAATGTTTGGGTGGATGTATGCTTTGTATCTTAACGGAGGCCTAGGAAGGAGAAAAGCCGAATCGTTGGCCTTACGACATGCATCCATTGGCAATGCGGCCACTCAGATCATGTGTCCATCACGCAAGAGACATTTCCAATGCCAATATGTATGAAATTCATGCATTCCCTAGTCTACGGCCGTCCACATGTAGCCACTGCGCCGCCAATTGCAAGCCCAAAGTAGCCATGCCACGCATGATGAAAAGATGATTCAAGAACTCCGTTCCTATGCAGTGTAGATGCCATCCTAACCGTGACCGAACCCTAGGCGTGAAAGCCCGTTGCAGGCGTAACGCCATGAATACCATGCCGAAACCGAACGCCGCGCTTATGATGAAGACGTGGAAGAAAACCGAGGAATGGAAAGTTGGGCAAGGGGGTGAGAGGGCGGTGCGCAGTTCCTAGTGCGTGAGTGTCCACCATATTGTTGGACGGGGGTGAGGGGGAAATGGAGTAGGGGCTGCCGAATCGCATGATGACGAAGAGAGGAGTGTTGAGGTAGGTGATGCTGTCGGCGAAGGGACAAGGATGAGGGTGTCAGAACCCGAATCCTCTTCAGACGCTGGGGACCCACCCCTAAGTAGCCCTGGCATGCGGATGTGAGACATTCGCATGATGAGGGGCTCAGAGTTGCAGTCCATGGGCAACGTCTAGCGCTTCATGGGGGTATCGGCGTCCTCATCATCTTCAGCATCATCGTCATCGCCTTCGAAGTCGGAGTCCATTTCTTGGTCCTCGTCCGGGTCGCTCTCGCTGCCACCAAAGTCCAGGCTCTCGGCATCGCTGTCTTCCCAGCTCATGTCAAACTCGCCCTCGTCCTTCTCTTTCTTCCACGCTGTCTCGTGCGTAGGCATGACAAAGTCCGTGGGGATGTCCGCCTTTGACAGCTCGAGGTCCTTCTTGACCATCTCTTTGTACTGCTCGGGCTTGTTGCGCAGCATGACTCCCGCGTCGACGTTAGCGGGTGAGGAAACCTCGGCATCGTCCAGCAGAGAGAGGATGGATATCAGGACCGTCTCGACACGCTGCACGGGTGACCAGCGCTCGGCGGCAGTCTCGCCGGACATCTCGTCATCGCCGGGTGGGTGGAGGATGGAGATACATAGGCGGCCGTCGGGGTAAATGTTGGGGTGGTAGAGCGGGCGGATGAACTTGAAATCTGGTAAACCGTTAGCTCCTGCCCTGCGCTTCGCGACTCCTTCCATCCCTGGATCCGCGTATTGGCAGTGACGTACCTGGCGGGCTATGCGGGTAGTTGCGAGGGAAGGTCATCTTGGCCTTGAAGTAGCCGCCGTAGTACATGGACTCTTCGTTCATGACTATCAGGGCGACACTCCACTCAAAGACGTTCTCGTTGATGAGCTGTGACGTGGTTAGCTCGGTGCTCCTGCATCGCCACTAGGACTGTGACTCTGGAGGGAATGTCACCAAGACGCACCTCGATGTTTGTCCACTTCTCCTTGCTGAGCTGCTTGAACTCATTCATGAGTATCCGCTGCGCCATTTCCGCCATGTTGCCTTCTCGGTCCGGGGTCGTTGCTGAGGCGTGTAGTGTTCGTGGGGGTGCAGGAACAGTACTGTATTCGCCGAGGCGGTCGGTTGGGTGTTGTCTACGTGTAAAAGTGAGAGTGTGGGTAGAGAGAACGTCCTGGTGGTTTGTGCAAGGAGTGAGAGAGCGGCGCAAGGGCGAGAGTTTGTACTTAAGGGAGTCGGTCGGCTGAGGCGCTGCATGATCGAATGCTCTCGCCGAAACAAGGATCACTTAGTCCGCCCCTCGGCAGGAGCCTAAGTCACCGCTTCCGAACTCGCGGACAACGAGTGGAACCTTCCTTACTTGGTCCTCATGACTGCAGGGGCTCACCGTCACCACGTTTCTTTCATCGTCGGCACAGTTGCTGTTCGGCGCCTTGGATGCCGCGCATTCTGGCTTTGGCAGTGTTCCTTCCGACCTCGGAACGAATAGGAACGGTACGGAATGTCACCTTGGATGCGTCCCAAGGTTGGCTGCTCGCGTGATAGCACAGAGTTGCGGCTTATCTACGCTTCCATCCATCATCGCGTCTCTGGATGTCATGTGAGCGTATGAGCAAGGTAGTATAAACACGCGCTACTAATGCATGCCGTTTCATGTGATGTCATCATGGGCACTATCGACACCTGAAACAATACTGTAAAGCATTCTTTTGCTTTGTCTATTCGCGTACGCCAATCCCTAGCTTCATGGCTCATTGTACAGGGTATGCGCGCCTTCTTTTTCGGCTTGTGTGGTTTGCTTCTTGCTACCTTCTACCGAAAGCCACACGTAGTTGTCGATCTGTGAGATCATCACATACGTATCCAATTCCATACTCAGGCGATGTGCTGGCAGCAAAGAGCTTTGCGACGAGAACAATACTTTTCTAATCTAGAGTATATCTAATGCCGACATGATCGTGTACGACGTGACCCCGAATTATGACAACCTCCGGTACACCAGCGCTGGCGTTAATACATGTACTGAATGAAAAACCACGATACTAAACATAGGAGAAACAAAGACAGACAGTGTCCAACTGACAAAACAGGGAATTACTAACCGAAAAATTCAATCAAATGTAACGCATCCTCTTAGCAACCCCCAAGCAGACAGCAACGAAAAGGACAATAACACCAATAATGCCAAAGAACCATCCGAGGCTGCCATCCTGACCGGGAACCTTGACGTTCATACCAAACAGACCACAAATCAAGTTGAGCGGAACGAGAATCGTAGCGATGACCGTAACCTTCTGAAGCGTAGCGTTGCTGTCGTTGCCTTGAATGACTTGATCAACCGAGATTTGCGCAAGGTAGTTGGAGTGTGCGCGGCTGAGCATCTTCTCGAAATGAGCCAAGTTGGACATCATAGTGACGACGTGATCCTGGATATCACTGAGGTACATGCCCACGTCACCCCGAGGAGCAACGCTGTACGACTCGTTGCAACGCTTAGCGAAGCCCTTGATGACATCTGCCTTGCCGCCCAAGAGACGCAACAGCTGCATGACGCGCTTGCGGCAGTCGCCGATCGATCGAAGAATGGCGCGAGAATCTTCAATGCGCGCAGTGAAGACCTGATCCTCAATCGCATCTGCCTCATCTTCGATGCCGCGAATGACAGGTGCAAAGCTGTCGACAATGTCATCGATGAGGGCGTAGCAGATCCAGTCAGCGTTGAGGTTGATGTAGTCGCGAAGACGGCTGATACGCTTGCGCACAGAAAACGTGTGTGGGCTCTCGCAGAAAGTGAAAGTTAGGATGCCCTCCTTGAATACGACAGCATAGAAGTTGACAGGCTCCAAGTACTCCTCCGATTCCTTGTCGGCTTGGAAGAAGGAACGGAAAGAGACGAAGTAGTATTGATGGAACAGCTCCACCTTTTCGCGCGGCTCTTGGACGCAGATATCCTCACGGGTGAGAGGGTGCACGCCGAAAGCCTTGGAGATGGCGAAGACTTCCTCTTCTGTAGGGTTGACCATGTCGAGCCACCAGACGCCGCCGTCTGATGGGGTGTCAAACAGATCGCGGAAGCGTTCGCCGGGCATAAGCAGGCCGCCCAGTTCGGCAGCATGGATCGTGTCGTCCAACTCAGACGAGAAGAACGTCCAGCGGTTGAGCTTCACTTCTGGCGCCGGCTTCTCCGCGAATATGTGTGACAGACCTTCCTCGGCGAGCTTCTCTTGGATCGCAGGGTCCGCATTCTTAAGGCTCAAAGCGTCGCTGTCTGTCTTGGGTGTTCCTGACTGGCTGGACTTGGGGCGGAGATCGGAGAAGACTTTCGGCTTTGTGGAAAGGTTGGAAGCGGTGCTCGCCTTGTGTCGCAGAGGCTGGCCGATGGGCGTCTTCTCTTGAGCCTCTGCGACAAACTCCTCCAACTCTTCGTAGTCGAACCTAGTAGTCTTGCCAGTATCCTCGGCCACAGGGAAGCACACATCCTCCTCGGCAGAGCTGTGCGCAGATGCAACTTCAACGTTGTGCAGCTCATCAGGACGCTCGTCGCTGATTGTCGGACGGCGCGCAGTGCCGCGAGAAAGCGTCCTGTTCAATCCCAGCTCGAGCTCGGAACCAGCATGGCTCTGGAGGGTGTTGGCACGGTCGCGGCGCCTAGGGCCGGCGAATGCGTCGACGGAGT